AAAATGTGAAAAAAGCGACTTAAAAGAAATCAAAAACATGAGCGCCTCCAGAAAATTCTAATAGAAAAATGTGGACAGAAAGGAGAAAGGAAGTAAGAAGGAATAAGAACTAACTTCTATCTGGTCTGCTTGCCTTGCCGGTACTTCTTCTCAAACGAATTATCTTCCTCCACATTTTTTTGACCCAAATTTAGCTAATAATGTAAATGTTGAGCTGTATTATCGACGTTTAATACCATCATTTTCTTTATATTTACTTAGATAACATGGGCCATAGTATAGGTATGAAGATACTCAAACTGAATACAAGGAAGCACACTTGGGTTGATTTCAGTTTTTATTGGAAAATTAAGGTGAGTTCGGCTTGGCAAAACGGAGTTGGAATGGAGAAAGAACAGTTTTATAGTCACGTGATCACAGAGTGAAAAGAGTAAAATGGTTAAGCCGAACGCATCGCAGAGAGCAAGGTTAGCTGCCGTCGCGCGCGAATGCCGTGAGCCGTTACTAAACAATAAAAGATAAAAGAATATATCCAATTTGAAGTAATATAAAAACAAAAATATTTACTACTTTTTTCTTGTTTTGGCATTTTTTCAGTACTAAGAACGAGATTATTCCCATCACAAACCGGAATATGTGTTTTTGCGGATATTTTGGGGAGCGAAGTCATTTTTTCTACCAGGAGCCCCAGGAGGCAACCAAGCCCTAAGCAAAAAATATCTTTCTTCTTCAGGTTAGGATCGTTAGGATAGTGAATTATCGAAAGCTTAAATTTTACCGCCTTTTGGAAATATAGGAAGTGCGCATGCCCGCTCCTCGAGCTTCATCTCTCGAGGTGGTGCTTGTGGAGTTAACTCTTTTCACTCTACTTGGCTGTACCCGAACGATGAGGGGCTTGCACTATTTGCTCCCAGTGGCGTGACCCGAACGATTTTGCAGTGAAAAGGGTCAAAGGAGTCAATAGAGTTGCCAAGCCGAACTCATCATGTTGATAAATACAATCCCGGAATATATCCTCGGGGATTTTTCGTAAACTCCTGCTCGTTAGACACTCTATTTTTACTTATTGTAGTTCGAAAATCCATTTTAAAATTCAAATTTGTTGACGTTTATTTGATTTTGTGATTTGGGGTGGTGACAGTGGTTGTCATTCACAATTTACGACGTTGCCGGTATCTTCAAATCGATAATTTCTATCTCGATTTGGAGAGTTTTCGACTGCACTTATAGAATAAGAAATTTGTCAAAATCGATAACGTTTATCTCGATTTCATCGTTCTCGATTGTCTATTGACGTTTTCGATCTCGATTTGATAAAAGTTACAGAATAGACTAGTTTTTTATCGATTGTCGATAGCTGAAAAAGTTACAGAATACCAAATTTTTCCGAAAATCGATAGTTTCGACAGTAATCGATTCAAGTTTTCGATTGTCGATTCGATTTGAGTTAGAGAATAGACCCGAATTTGTACGTTTAATGTATCTACTATGAAATTTTCGAAATTTTCAGGCATAAAGTAACCATTCTATAGTGACTTCACAAGAAAAGTTAAGTTTAAACAAAAAAAAAAAAACAAAATAATTTAATAAATAACATTATTGTTTCAATAATTCTCAATGTTGATATTTGTGTGTGTCAGCTCAGAATTTAAAAAGATGCTTTTCCGCACTAGTGCGGAAAAGTGAAACTTTCCAAACTAAAATGCGTGCGGAAAAGTGCACTTTTCCGCACGCTCGTAGAAAATAGTTATTTTCCTAAAAAGTGCGCAGAGTGTTACTTTTCCGCACGCAAACACAGTTATACGAACGACGCGAAGCGGAGTTCGGATAAGTGTTTGCGTGCGGAAATAGCTATTTATACAATAAGTTACGAAATGAGCGTCTTTTGGGCACGCGACGTGAAAATTGTCCAACGAGGCAAAGCCGAGTTGGACAACACGTCGAGTGACTAAAAGACATCGTTTCGTAACGTATTGTATACAAGATTTTTTCTACTGGCATTTTATAATAAAAAAACACAATTTTATTTCATGTGAATAAGTCGATTACACCCAAAATCTTTGTTACCTGTTTTTACTTGACACCTGACACTTTTCATGCGATTTTCTTTTCAAAATTTGACATCAATAATTAAAATCCTAGAAAGTAGGTAATAACACAAAGTTCTGTTTTGAGTAACCCAAACATTCGATTCAGTAATTCCATTTTCAATATTCATAATAAATACAAAACAAAATTCAAATATGTGTTTAGTGTGTTTTTTATTTCTGAATAATGAATGACACTTTTAGGCACTAGTGCTTAAAAATTACTTTTACGCACTCATAAGTCACTTTTACGCATTCAAAAGTCACTTTTACGCACTGAGTGCTTAAAAGTAACTTTCACGCACTCAGTGCCTAAAAGAATGTCGTTTCAAAACTGAAATGACAATCGAAAAGTTGCTATTATGAAACGTCAGTAGAAAAAGACACTTTGCGCACGTGTTAGGAACAAAATTTTTCCTACGAGCTTCATATCAGGTAGGTAACAACAAAAATTAAAAAAGAAAAACGATAATTTATTCAATTATTTTCCATTAACTTGAAGCGAACCTATTCATTCATCAAAAAATTACATAATAAAAAAACAGAAAATTGAAATCCTCGTCAGAGCTGTTTATCTTAAAGCGTTTAAATTTGATGCGAAAGAAGTTTGTAGATTCTTTTGCATGTAAATGGAGAACACAAATCTGACAATGTATCAAAGTAAATTATATTCAGTGATTGTATTGATGTTAACTATAGAAACAGAGGAAAAATTTGTCATCATGTGTCAAAGTCGACAGGTGCACTTATTGTTGCTTGACAATTATTTTTAGTTTTTGGCACTCAGTGCGGATAAGGCCCGTATCCGCACTGAGTGCGGAAAAGTGTAACTTTGAGAATGGTAATGCGTGCGGAAAAGTACTACTTTGCGCACGCTCGTAGGAAAAAGGATGAAAATACACTCAACGCGCATTAAATTTACCAACTGAAAACGCTATTAGTTTTTACGTTGACTATTTCAATCTGACAGATTTTTCTCAACATAACCTTACTTTTGGTCGGTTACAGATTGTTGTTGTTGGCGATTTTTCCTACTTTTTCTGAGATATTTTTATCAAACTGATGTTCTAAAAGATTTCTTTTTGTTATTTCTGCTTATTTTTGAAGTTATGAGTTGTTCATAACCTATTTTTCCAAATCCGAATTTAACAAGTGATAAAAATGGCGGTCCTTCAAATTCGGCCAGTTGCGCAGGATGGACCCTTATTCTATTCTAACCAACAACTCTCCCATATCTCTGCTCAGAATTGATAGCGGTATTAGCTATTTGGGATTAACAGTTGAAAAGACCGATAGATTGTCAAATTCAACATTTACTAGCAAAAATTTCGGATTTTTGACGTTTAAAGAAAAAAAAAACTTTGACATTAGGCGTTGATTAGTCAATCCAAACCATCTGTCAAAAAAAAAACAATTTGGCGTGGTGTCCATACAACCTTGTTTTGTTATGTGTTTTTACGACATTTACGTTAAGGGATAGTGTAGTTTGCGTATTTTGAGTTATTTTGCTGCAAGTTTGATTATTTAACGAGCAATTGGCCATGTTTCAAATTCAAAATTTGCTTATGCGCATTTCTCTTGATAAAGTAACTTATCCTTGTTTTGCTGCTGTCAAATGACAGCAAGGACAGCATTACATCGGTGGAAATGCGCGTAAAGTCTGTTTTTTTTTAAAGATAATTCCCCAAGTCAAAAATTTAGTAACTATGTTGGCAACACAAGCCTTTTCTACATAAAAAAATTGAAAGCTTTGACAATTTTACATTGTATTGCCAACAAAATGTCATTTTGACTTTTATCTTTAAAAAAAAAAACAGATTTTATCTCATTGATGATTTTAAAAACTTGCCCATCCGTAACCTTTTAAAGTGAATTGACAAGTGTATTGAAGTTGGCGGTCATCATTTTGAACAATTTTTATGGTTTTTGAATATTTTTTCATTATGGTAGCCTTTCTCTACTTTTGGATTTTGAGAGAAAAAATAAATAAATAAATTAATTGATTCGTTCTTTTTTATCAGCTTAAATTGAAATCGGATCGAAAAATGTTTCAAGTGAAAGTCACTTGTTTTTTTCCGTAGAAGAAAATTCTGGAATAAAAAAAAACATTTCTATTTAAAAAAAAGAGTTGACCTTGAAATAACCTTGAAAACGTTGTCAAAGTCAAAAATCAGTGCGCCATTTTGTTTCCCCTATGATACCATGTAACTTTTGTTTGAACTTTTTTTTCGAAAACGCACCGTTCTCGAGATATTAGACTGTCTCAAGTTAAATGGACCACCCTGTATAATATACTATTACTTATTATATAATATACTATTACGTAATTACCATTGTTCATGAGGTTTGTCAAAGATGCATTTTTTGTATATAAATAGTGGTTAATTGTTTAATAAAAATCAGTATTAATCCAACAACGGTTCTTACTCCCCAATTACCAATCTTCCCGGGTGTACTAACCCAACGTACAAACCACAAACAGCAAACTACCAAGTGTTCTGAGCATCCTCCTAATGAAGAACTTTACCGTTAACGGCATTATCGGCTTAATGGGATTCGTTGTGTAGTCGGACTCAATGAATTACAAATTATACCCATTTGTCTTGACGTCATTTTTGTTTTATTTATTTCAAATAACGACCTTTATATTTATCGACTGCAATTAGAGCATATTTCAATGATACCCGAGAAGAGCTAACTCTTCGAAAAATCTTCTTAAAGATTCCGGTAAAAATTTTAAAAATTGTAGATATTGAAAAAATAGTCCATTTACTTACAGTGGAGCTTTGCAAATTACAGAAAGAAAACTTCAGTCTTCTCCACTAATTTTTATTTGTTTTTGTAGATATTTTTTCAGTAAGTTTTCCAGTCACTACATGACCACATTCTCAGATTTTCATTTTAAATACTTACATCTATAGTGTAGCACTGTGTTGGCAATGAGTATAAATGTTTTAGTGGTTTACTTGCAGCTTCATTCAAAGTAGCTGAGTAAAGTGAGACAGCAACTACACGAAATACTACGAAACCGAAGGAGTAAAAGAAATAAATGCTGTCTATTAGGGCCTCACGTTCTCTAAAAAAAAACAGACAATAATTTTTATTAAAATACATTATTGAAGACTCTTACTTAATACTGTTATAAAGTTGAATGCATAGGAAAAATATGTTGTTCAGGAACGAAATCAGTACAAGGCCAGCAATTTGCTTGTCAACTACTCTAGTTAAATATGAAACCCTGAAGTAATCTTCACGAATTTCTTTCCAAAATTTATTTGGAGGACTCTAAAAACGTTCAAACGTGACTCACTTATTAGGTACTTACTTACTTACTTATCTATTTGTGACAGCTTTTTCAATGAGATTATCTATTCTTATGGCAATAAAGCTTTTTTTTGACTTGACTATTAAGTAGGTGCCCTGTGAGGATTTAAAAAAATTTACCTGATTTTGCTTAATTCTTCTTGATATCAAATTGAACTTTTCTCGCAGTGAAATACTAATTAAAATTATGAAAAGATCGATGAAATTCCATGTGAACGTACTGATAATATTTGAAAACTGAAATTTAAAAAAGATCTTGCCTTGTTAAACATCTAGAAATGAAATATATTCACCTCAGCTAAGGCTGCAGTCCAATGTGAATATCCAATCAATGTAAACCATTCTGGGAAAGCACAACCAAAATAAATTTCAGCTGGGTGTAAATGGAAATTTTCACAAGCCAAACTGTGGTACAAATGAGTGACAATAAATAAAATGTGTTCGGCTGAAAAAAAAAATCTATTCTTAATTATTTTAATGACCTACCCATTATTAAGCTGTGGATTTTGCACTCACGAATCGAATTGAATTGAATCGATCCAAGGAATCGATATACCGGGGGCTCGGACCCGTTAACTTCTTTGAAAAGCATATGTGTAGTCTTCCGAAAAGAGAACTCTGAAGCTTCATACTTTCAAAGCTAATGGATCTGTTTCAGTGCGTTTTTGTAAAGTAGGTATTTATTTCTTTTTTGAATCTTTTATGCATTACCTATAACTCAACTTCTGGGTCAGTTGTTGAGTAACAAAATTGTAACCGATTATTTGAAACAATGCATAGATATTGAAAAAAATTGATGAACATTTAATGGCATAAAGTCGGTAGTTTCTTTAGAAGAAAAAAAATCAGCCTTTAAATGTTTACCCTTATAAAACCCATAATAATTAAATAATTTATGGAAAATCTCAGTATAGGTAACCAAAAGTTCTATAGATTGATTTCTGCTATAGATTGAAGCTCTTCTCTTATGAAAAGCCCATTTTTGTAATATCTACGTCCTACGACATAGTTATCACGTAGACTCACAATAAAATTACCCCTCTACAAATTGTCACAACAAGTGTTGAATATGCTCAAAAATCAATACATATATGCTCATAGTTTTCCATTATATCGCAATACATCCTAATTGATTGCCGAAAATGTCTATTATCATTCAATGGACCTAAATTTTAACTAGCTTGAACAGAATCTTCTAACATTGTTACGTATTGTGGTTGCCGAACTTCTATAGCTCCTTTCCTCTTTCGACGCATTGAAAACTATCTCGGGCGGACTATACCTCAGGAAGTAATCTCCTAAGATCCTCAGGCCTCAGGGACACTTTACCAAAGCTAGTCTCACTAAATTACTAGCACCAGTAAAAATAGGATCCTAACGAACAGGTATTAAGGCGTCAATATCCGTCACCTTATATCAGTTTATATATCTCTGCCTAATATTTATGTCAATCAACCCGCAGTTACGCCCGCAGTATATTATCACATTTCGAAGAATGGTCTTGGGCGTTAGCGGTTTATATTTATGCTATGTCTAGAGCAGTCTAGTCTAGTTTCTCGACTACTTCCTCCATTGTAGTGAAAAGTATCTGCCTGATTGGAGTGGTATTGATTTTTTCTTCCAGTTGTTCAGTGATGTGGTATAATAAATGAATAAATAAACTGTCGTAATTTAATCCGAGAATGGTTCATTGCTCTTTCTTTCGAAAATAGCTCAAAGCTATTTCTTATAATATTTTTTATAGTGAAGCAATGGTCCGGAGTTGACCCCCACACCACAATCATCGCAAAACCTACATTATACACGATGATACATCATTTCTATATTTTATAACGCGTTTGAAGTTAGCACCCGATTCTCAGCAACGATTTTTCAGGAAAAGCGCATTACTGCCAACGATAATTAAGCTCAATTTAATATACATATGTATATATTTTTTTCTTGTTTCGATTTTTTTTTACAGAAAGGTGTTTTCTATCTTTGATATCATTTTGTTCACCTGTAACTTTTTTGTTTTTGAAAATATCGAGGCAAACAAAAAAACAAAATGTAGGGTTAGTAGCCAAGTTTTTTCTCAAGTTACACATAAAACAAAACACTATCAATTTTTTGACATATAAGCCTACATTATATTTTTTCAAATGGAACAATCCGTATATTATATGTGTGTTCGATAGAATATCTTATTCTGATTAGAATGATATAACACACTTCATATTTTAGTCCACTTGTTTTTGACAAATCGGCAAAAACCTTTGACATTTTTATATACACTTAGTGGAGTAAAAACACAGGAAAAAGTCGCTTCCTTCTCGATTTTTTTTTTTTTGAAGGTCTAACCACATGAAACCTATTAGTACGAGAGCTGGCGACACTAAATTTTGTGTGATTTCATAACGATTAGTTTTACTTTTTTTGGATCATCTCGGAGCCATAGAAAACTAAAATCGATTCCTGCAGGGGTACCAGCAGGACACTGATTGACCGCGATATGTTAATTACGTCAAAAAAAAATTTAATTGTTGAAAATAATAAAAGTTGAAACTTTATCAATTTTTTAATAACATTCAAATAAAACATAAAACGACCTCCTGCCACTTTTTTGGTAGACCTATACACTCCTGCCATAATATTATTTATGTAAAAAAAATTTATCAATTGATATAAATTATAAAAGTTAATTTTTTTTTTTAGCATTTCACTAATAATTAGGATTACTAAAAAATATATCCTGCCAGTCATTTGATGGGACCTGGCTTCGGCAGGAACAAAATTGTTGAGCGGAAACACATTATACAGTGTGTCCAAAATAAGGATGGCATAGCATTAGGATCTAGGGAACGGTTGGAGTTACAATGTTGGTTAGATTAGAAAAAAGTTGCGCAATTTGATGCTCAATAAAATGGTATTTTGACATTTGAAAAATTCTGAACACTTTCAAAGATATCCGGAAAAAAACGAAATTTTGCAAAATCGATTTTATTTTTTCCTGAGCTTATTTGAGGAGACATTTAAAAATAAATTTCACTTCATCGTAAGAAGCTGTGGTAACAACTTTGTCTACTCTACAAGATGACATTTTCAAATTTAAATTCTGACATTTCGTCTTTGGGTCACCATCATCAACTTAATTTTTTTTTAAATACGGCCCTTGATTTTTTATTTCAGATTTTAAGAGCTTCTGATATCCCAAAACCTATGACGTACCGCATTTATTCGAAAAAAATCAAAAAATCGAATAAGTGCAATACGTCATTGGTTTTGGGAGTAGAAAAAGTGTTCACGATTAAGGTTTAAAGTCAGGCCTATAGTTTATTACAGCAACGCGAGATGTCAAAGCTGTCGCCTCTATAGTATGCCCTAACTTGTCTGTCAAAAAAAAATAGAAATCTTCATTTGGTTAAATTGTGTGATGGAACGTTTTTTCTTTTTTTGGCGGAAATTCGAAGTATTATTCTGTTTTACATAAACAGGGTTATAGTTTCGACCAACGCAAATAATTTTGAACGTTCATCCGTCGGATTTTTTCCTAAACAGTGTAGCTACGGGCGTATTTCCAACTATTTTTGCAGTAGCGAGAAAACTACAAGTTCAAAAAATTTGAAAAAAATATATGTCGCGTAGAATTGCAATAGTAGTTCGTAATAAAAATAATGGGAAACTTCATCTATTCGTTTTGAAATAAATGGTAAAAAACTACTTTTTTTTTCAGTTTTTGCGATATAACTCAAAAATGGCGAGTCAAATATGCTTAAAAAAATTATGGATTAAAGTATATCGATATCCATAAAACATATATTTTTTTTGGAATTTTTGAACACAAGGTTCAGAAAATAGGGGTTGACTTTAAACCTTAAGTGACATTTATTTTGAAATATCTCCTCAAATAAGCTCAGGAAAAAATAAAATCGATTTTGTGAAGTTTTGGGTTTTTCCGGATATCTCGGAAAATGTTCGGAATTTTTCAAAAGTCAAAGTAGCATTTTATTGAGCGTTAAATTGCGTAACCTTTTCCTAATCTAACCAACATTGTTACTCCAACCGTTCCCCAGATCCTAATGCTACCTCATCCTTATCTTGGACACACTGTATATCCACTATTTCTAGGCTTCCAAATTCCAAATCCAAAGGTTCTCAATGCGGTAGATATTAAGTGATCACATACATCCTAGAGCAAATGAGCACCTTGAAAAAGGGTCTGGACGTCTTTTATACACAATAAAAACCTGATGTGAGGCAGATGCTTGGGCATTTTAAGATTCCATATGAATGACTGATGTGCTGATGTTCAGTTCTAGTTCAGTTCGCTCGGTGCTGTGATCAATGAACTGACCAAAGATCTATCCACTTTTGTGGAAACTGTCAATGGCAGGAGTATATAGGTCTACCGAAAAAGTGGCAGGAGGTCGTTTTATGTCTTATTTAAATGTTATTAAAAAATTGGTAAAGTTTCAACTTCTATTATTTTAAATATTTGGACTTTTTTTTTCAACATGTTTGGCATACCGCAGTCAACCGTTGTCCCGTTAACAAGGTGGCAGGAGTTCATTTTCTTGATCATTGATATCAATACTACAAAATAAAAGGTAAATCAAGTTTTATGAAATGGGACAATGAAAAGTGTCGCCAGCTCCCGTACTATATACAGGAGGATCGGTTATGCTCTTGTGCATCTGAAATGGCTAATTACGACTTTTTTCGCGGGGGCAGAAATTTTTTATCTCAAAAAATTTGACAAATATGTCAAGATGTTATAATACGCGATAACTCCGGAACTAATAAACCTATCAACATAATTTTTTTTTTTAATCGGTAGAGGACATATGAGCGGTGATAACTGTGCTAGTTTAAATCCCATAGTGACTCAATTTTTTTTTGCAAACTGGATTGAACTTCAAATCGTACTTTAAGTGCAGCATGTTTTTCGGTAAGCGAGAAACTTTTTTATTTGAACGAATTTTGTCATAGTATCTGTGTATGATATGACGACAAAGTATCAAAAAAGTTTTTTTAAAAAAAATCAACCATCTGGAACGAATAGTTTTCTAGTTATCCTTGATTAAAGTTATGAATATCCAGAGCGCGCGATGTACAGTCGGAATCATTGCAATTGGCACACACTCTTTAAAATCCCTCGTATTAAGTCAAAATTCTAACCAATAAATCTATTTAGTACAGCATTTTGCTAGTACTGTGTGTCAGATTTGACACATTACAAGGGATATTTACAAAGTGTGTGCCAATTGCAATGATTTCCACTGTACCTGCTTGTCGGCGACGCCGACGGCACTGGCGGACGTGGAGATTTTACTGCGGATTTGAAAGTTGGTGCTCGAATGGTTCCAAAATTTAAAGAATTTATTAAATCTTCGTCAAATAAAACGGCATTAGTAAATTATTCAACCAACTATTTCTTGGAAAAGGGGCCTTCTATACTTAGCAATG